CCTGGCATTTTTGGTTGAAAGGTGACACCAGCAAGCCATTGAGATGATAATGATTATGTTAAGATGTGCATTCAATTGGATATTAGACCCCTGCTGCCCACCTTGGCCTGCTACTTTGGAGCTCTCAGGGACTCCTGGAGAGTTCCCATTGGTTGGGGAAGTGTGGTAGGAGGGATTTCCAGAGGAGGGATTGCCGTTGGTGTGGTGTGTCCCGCGAGAAGGTCACGTGGTGCGTGGCGTTAGCGGGAGTTTTGGAAATAAAGTTTGTTCCTGCTTGAGTGGCTCATGATTTTGTGCCCAGCCAGACTGTGGCACAACTTCTCTTTCTTCTAGTTGTACATGATGTAGAATTACATTGCTTGTGTAATCACATATGCACATAGGATAGTAATATCTGATTAATTCTACTATCTTTCCTATTCCCATTTCTCCTCCCTTCCCTTCATTTCCCTTTGTCTAATCCAAAGTACTTCTATTCTCCCTTAATCCCCTTCTTATTGTGAATTAGCATCCGCATATCGGAGGAAAAAGTTCAGCCTTTGTTTTTTGGGGGATCGGCTTATTTCACTTAGCATGATATTCTCCAGTTCCATCCATTTACTGGCAAATGCCATAATTTCATTCTTATTTATGGATAAGTAATACTCCATGTGTAGAGACAACATTATTTTCTTTATCCATTCATCTGTTGAAGGGCACCTAGGTTTTAGCTATTGTGAATTGAGCTTCTGTAAATATTGATGTGTCTGTGTTGCTATAGTATGCTGAATTTTATCCCTTTGGTAGAAACTGAGGAGTGGGATAGCTGAATCAAATGGTGGTTCCATTCCAAGTTGTCTGAGGATTTATGTGTGTTAATTTTATATCCTGCTACTTTGCTGATTCATTTATGTATTCTAGAAGTTTTCTGGTAGAATTTTCTGGGTCTTCTAAATATAGAATCATGTCATCAGCAAATGGTGATAGTTTGAGTTGTTCTTTTCCTATTCATATCCCTTTAATTTCTTTCTTCTGTCTGAATTTATCTTGAAGTTAGCTTTCCACTCTGCCAAAATTATTTTTGTCAAGGAGGCCAGTGATTTCAGTATTGCCAAATCCAATGGAAATTTCTGTCTTCATCTTAAGTTCACCTTTCCTTAGCATTTGACTGTGTGGATCACTCTCTCCTTGAAAAGACATTTCTTTTGTGGTGATACGTATGTTAGTCTTCCATTTTACTGAGGATGCTTCATAGTTTGTTTTTGTTTGGTTGGTTGGTTGGTTTCGGTGGGCTCCTCCTCTATCCAAATATCAAAGTTTTGAACTGTGAGCTTTTTTGTTTTCTTTCTGCCTAAGTGACTCACCCATAATTTAACACAGAATCCATATCTGTATCTCATGTCTGAGATGTATGTTTCTAGTCCATACTTCTCTTTTGAGTCATCAAACTCCAAACACATGTATCTACTTGTCTCCTTGGCCCACCCCATCTTTTTCCAGAGATTGAACCCAGGGACACTTTACCACTAAGGGACATCTCATCTTTTTAAATTTTGTTTAGTTTTAAGACAGGGCCTCACCAAGTTGCTAAGGGCCTTGCTAAATTGCTAAGGCTGACTTCAAACTTAAATCTTCCTGCCTCAGCCTCCCAAGTTGCTGGAATTACATGTGTGCACCCCGGCTTGACTTCTCTTTTGTAATATTTCAAACTTAACATATGCAAGGTATAATTTGGTTCCTTTTCTTGTTGTACCTCCAATTGGTTTTCTACAACAGTCTTCATTTTTTTTTTCTGTTGTTTAAGTGAGAAACCCTTGTTTATCTCTTTCACCACTGTTGTTGAACTTCTTTCCAAAATTTCCTTGAATTGGTCTACTGTCTCCATTTTTATTGCCATGAAACTAGTCCATGCTATTGTCAGTTCTTGCTTGAATTGCTATACTTCTCTCCTAACTGGTCTTTAGGCTTCTCCTTTTCATTAAATTTATTTTTTGTATAGTGTCAAGGTGTAAATGTAAATAGAAATATGTTCTTAAAATATGATTGTGACTTCTCTTTGCATGTAGCAGTTCCTTATATTGATCTCATTTTCCTCTGTCTTCTTCACTTCTTGTGCCTGCTTACCTTTTGTCTGCTCACAACTCTTAAGCCCGGGGTCTTATGTTCTTTGAGCTTGCTTTTTCCCTCACCTGATTCTACCCAGAATACTCTTCCCCTTCTCTCTGTGGGGCTAGTTATCACTTAGGCCTTATCTTAAATACCATCTCCTTCTCAGGCCAGTAAGTACTACTGCTGCTTTGAAATTTCAATTGTTTGTTTCTTTCATAATACATACCAGTTTGGATTTATTTATGCCTTTTCCCCTTTTATTTGGTCCGTCTTCCCTGTTTGAGGGCAGAGACTTCATTTCTCTTGTTCGCTTTTGGATACCCAGCACACAGTTAGCAGTTAACAAATATTTGTTGAATGAATAAATGAAAAGAGTGAATATTGCCATGTTCAGTTTTATGAATTTATATTTTTTTCCTTTTTAGTGTTTTAGCACATCTAGTTTTATAAATCCAGAGCATCTTATGTAAAGAAATTCAGGACTAATCTAAATAAGAATTTTTAGTAATAGAGATTAAAATAGCAGACAAACCTCTGTAATCCCAGCAACTCAGGAGGCTTAGGTGGAAGGATCACAGGTTCAAAGCCAGCTTCACCAATTTATTGAAAACCTCAGCAAATGAGTAAGACCCTGTTTCAAAATAAAATATAATAAGGTCTGGAATATAGATCAACAGTAAATGCCCAGTAAAAATAAAATAGCAGACTGAAAATAATAAATAGCAATAATGTCTCCAGTTCAGATTCTAATTTTTACCTAAGATTTTTGATGAAGCTCAAATCCTAGATATGAATTCATATAAGTTGATGATTTTATATCAAATTTGCTAGGAATTTAGGAAGCAAGAAATCAAATTTTTTGCATGTTTGTTTCAGATATGATCATTCTGTTTCAAATGACAAAGCTCTAATGGTGCTAACTGAAGAGCCACTACTTTATATTCCTCCTCCTCCTTGTCAACCCCTGATTAACACAACAGAATCTCTCAGGTAAGTATTATAAGTTGTTGTAAAATAAATAAGTGGGCTCCCATGATTAGCTTTGGAACCTAGGAAAGTCTTTGTTCAGATTTGCTGAGTGGTTGAATCTCTAAATTATTTGTTGGATAGCCACAGGCATATCAGTTGCTATGCAGTTGCCCTACTAGTCTGAGATAGATGATTATGGGTCTGTTTAATATAATGGTTGCATATTGCAATATGTCTTATTTGAAAACTACAGAATGAAATTAATTAAAATTCCAGGCTAAGTGCTAAGCTTATGGGTAGTGACTTTCGTAGCAGAAGGTACCTTTTTCTTCAAATTAGGAAGACAATAATTTGAGGTTGTGTGGTTCTAGAGACACTTTCCCATTATTGCACCCTTCTTGTATCGCCTTTTCTCAATTTTTTTTTTTCCTGATTTTGGACATATCCTTGAGCCTTAAAAACTGCCTCCTTTTTTAATGTTAAATAGTACTCAGTTATAGTTAAATAAGGATAGTCTAACATATTTGCAACTTCTGTAGAAAGTAAGAAAAATAAAGGGAAGTTTTATTGAATTGATCTTTTAAATTTCTACTATTGGAAAAATTTATTCCCCCCTCCCAGGTAGTTAGGTTTTCCTTCTCTCCAAAGGCATGATTTTCAAAGGCCTTAATATATTCTTTTGCAATAGGAGTCCTATGGATTGTTTTCTCCAGTGTCTTAGATATTTGTATATCACACAGCCCAAGAGGAAAAAAAAAAAAACACTTTGCATTCAATATTTATATTTGGCAAATACTTAGCTATGGTTTTCTTTAAATTTTGAATTTTTGATGGAGGAACCTACTATATAAAAATGCATATCTTACTAAATATTCAGTTAAGAATCTTAGTTATTCAAATCAAAGAGAAATACTGAGTAATTAGGCACTTGGAACACTCTTTGGAACCTACAGAATGATTAAATTCATTTCTCACCAGGAGATAAGAATTTTATTTCTGAAAAATATGTTTAATTGAATATCTGTTTTATAGATTAAATCATGAACTTCGAGGTTGGGTTCATAGACATGAAGTGGAAAGGACCAAGTCAAGAAGAATGACAAATAATCAACAGAAAACTCGTGTTCTTCAGGTTTGTTTCTACTTGTCTTGGAATAGTGATTGCTAATCATTGGAAGCTCTCTCCCTACCCCGCCACAGAGGTGGTATCTCTCCTGGAAGATATGGCAAGCTTAAGCTTTACCTACTTCTCATAGCTGCTTCTAGTGCAGCTTCATTGCCACCAATGTTCTTAGCCCAGGTTTTATGGCACTTGGTTTAAGTTTTATAATACTCATTTCCTGTGTTCAGGCATGATGCGCTTTCCTGCTCTCTTCTTCAAATTTGCTTCTGTCCAGGAGTTACTGTGCATGGATATCTTATCAAATATTTTTGGCACCACTGGTGTAATAAACAATACCTTTTGTTTCCTTACTTCTGAGAGCTCTTCAGAAATAGGGTATTAAAACATGGGACACATCAATGGAGGACAATTTTGAACATAGAAAAGTGCCACTACTGGGTTTAATGACAGTGCTTACTCAGCTATTCAGTAAAGCTTCTATCTTAATCTTGTTTGCCACAAAGCACCATTTACAATCATTCATCATTCATCAGATATATGTTGCTACTTCTGAAGTGCTTAGACTAGCAACTGGCACAGTGTGAGTACCCAATAAACATTATCTGTGGTAGTGATAATGAGCCAGGAACTGTTCCAGACCCTGGAATACAGTAGCGAGTATAATAAAGTCTCTCCCCTTCTAGTGGGAGAACTAAACAATAAATAAATAAATGCACAGGTACCTCAAACTTAAGATAAATTCTCTAAAAAGTAAAGCGTGGTAGAAAGTTAGAATTTGAATTGAGAAATGAAAAGCTATTTTAGATTGAGTGGTCAGAAAAGGCTTCTCTGAAAAAGTTTCAATTTAATAAGGTATTGTCAAGATAATTAATGCTGGCTGTTAGAATGACCTTAAAATCTCCCTAGCTTAATAGAATAAAAACTTGATTCTTACAGTGTCTAACATAGTTCTCTAGAATGGCTTTTCTCCAAATAGTGTCTTAGGGATCCATGTACCTTCTATTGTATAGCTCCAACAACTTGATAACTTGAAATCTTTGTTTCTAGTTTTAAATGGTGGGAAGAGAGTGTGGAAGATAATACAAATGGTTTTAGGGATCAGGCCTGGACTTTAGCCACTGTTTAGTTGGCTAAAATTGTCATTTTGCCTAATTGACTATAAGAGAGACTGGGAATATGTAGCCTTCCTGAATGCTCAGGAAGAAGAAAAAGTTGCAATGACAACATTGTTTTTTACTATGTAGACAGAAAATGTTAGAGTAAACAATGTAAAGATTTAGGGGAAAATCTGGTGAAAGATCTTCTAGAGAGAGAAACAGCAAATGTAAAGATCTTTAAGAAGGAACAGTTTACTTCTGTAGGCAACATCAAGAAGTTGAGTAAGGTTGGAATGCATTGACTGAGGGAAGATGGTAGATGATATTAGAGAGACTTGCAGAGGTGAAATAATACGCAGTTTCATAGGCTGTGGTGAGAATGTTGGATTTCATCCTTGGCATGACGAAACACCATTGAAAGACTTGATTAGGGTAGTGACTTGACCTGATTTTTATGTGTGAATGTGTATATGGCAGGGTGAGGAGAGGGTTAGGGATTGAATCCAGGGCTTCTCATATATTAGGCAAGTGCTCTACCACTGATCTACATCCACAGCTCCTGGTTTGTATGTATTTTTAAAGTTTTATTTGCCCTTTTTAGTTGTACAAGTATATTTTGACATATTTATACTACATTGAGTTTGTCTTATTCTAATTAGGAGCCCAGTCTTGTGGTTGTACATGATGTGAGTATTCATTGTGGTGTGTTCATATATATACATAGGAAAGTTGTATCAGATTCATTCATTCCACTGTCTTTCCTATTCCTATCTCTCTTCTTTTCATTCCCTTTTGTCTAAGCCACTGAACTTCCATTCTCCCCTCACCCTCTCTTTATGTATGTTAGCATCCATATATCAGAGAAAACATTCAACCTTTGGTTTTTTGAGATTGGTTTATTTCACTTAGCAGGATAGTCTCCAGATTCATCAGTTTACTGACAAATGTCAGAAAGTCATAATTTTTTATGGCTGAGTAATATTCCATCACACACACACATATACACACACATATATATGTATGTATGCATCTATATGTATGTACATATGTATATTACATACACACACACATACACACACACACACACACACCACATTTTTAAAAAATCCATTCATCTGTTGAAGGCACCTAGGTTGGTTCCATAACTTAGCCTATTGTGAATTGAGCTGCTATAAACATTGATGTGGCTGCATCACTGTAGTATGCTGATTTTAAGTCCTTTGAGTATAAATTGAGGAGTGGGATAGCTGAGTCAAATCATGATTCTGAGGAATTTCCATACTGCTTTCTATAGTGGTTGCACCAATTTGCAGTCTCTGGTGGGGAATGCAATGTATGGTGTACCCTTTTCTTCACATCCTCGCCAACGTTTATTGTTACTTGTATTCTTGAAAATTGCCATTCCGACTGGAATGAGATGAAAATGGTGTCATTTGCATTTCTTTAATTGCTAGAGATATTGAACTTTTTTTTACATTTATTGAGTGACTGATCATATTTCTTCTCTGTGAAGTGTCTGTTCAGTTTCTTTGCCCATTTATTGATTGGGTTACTTGGTTTTTTAGTTCTTTAAATATCCTCTAGTTGCAGGTTGCAAAGATTTTCTCCCATTCTGTAGACTCTCTCTTCATGTTCTTGATTGTTTTCTTCACTGTGAAGAAGTTTTTTAGTTTGATTCCATACCCTTTATTGATTCTTGATTTTACTTTTTGTGCTTTAGGAGTCTTATTGAAGAATTCAGTTCCTAAGCCAAATGATGGAGTTTTAGACTGACATTTTCTTCTAGTAGGCACAGGGTTTCTGGTTAAATGTATAGGTCTTTGATCCACTTTGAGTTGAGTTTTGTGCAGGGTGAAAGAGGTTAAATTCCATTCTGTAACACATGGATTCCATTTTTCCCAGCACCATTTGTTGAAGAGGCCACTTTCTCCAATATATGTTTATGGTGCCTTTGTCTAATAAGAGATAATTGTATTTATGTGGGTTTATCTCTGTTTCTTCTATTCTATTCCATTGGTCTTGTCTGTTTTGCTATTACTATAGCTCTATTATATAAACTAAGTTCTAGTACGGTGAGCCTCATCCTTCGCTTTTCTCACTAAAGATTGCTTTCGCTATTCTGGGCCTGTGATTTTCCTAAATGAATTTAATGACTGCTCTTTCTATTTTTATGAAGAATGTTATAGGGATTTTAATAGGAATTGCATTAAATCTGTATAGCGCTTTTGATAGTATGATCATTTTGACAATATTAATTCTGCCTATCTGAGAACATGGGAAATCTTTCTATCTTCTAAGGTCTTTTTCAATTTCTTTCTTTAGTGTTCTGTAGTTTTCACTGTAGAGGTCTTTCACCTCTTTTGTAAGATTGAATCCCACTTTTTTTTTGGTTTTGTTTTGGCTTGGTTGTTTTTGAGGCTAATGTGAATGGGATAGTTTTCCTAAATTTTCTTTCCACTGATTCATCATTAGTGTATCTCGCCCACATCCCCGTGCCCATGGTGGGAATTTAGGTCTCCTCTACATGAAGTGGGCTGGACGTGAAATTAAGCTAAGAAAAAAAAGCAGAAAAGAAATACGCTAGAGAAAGTAATTGTGAAAAGGGAGGGTAGGACGGCTCTTCAACCTTAGAGGTCGAGCTTCCACACTGGAAAGAGAGCGAGAGCCTGCAGTTGCTTTGTTATATGGGGGAACCTTCAAAGGTTTTCCATAGAGTGTTTTTATGCCAAATAAAGCAGGAGGTGGGTTGCCCAGCTCCCAGTGGGTTATGCCCAACTCCAGAGCTACAAGATCTGTCTCCCTAGGGGAGCAAAGACAGAGGTCAGTGTTTTGCACAATCCATTAAGTGGGAGGAGCCACAACAGAGCTTGCAATGCTAAATCAAAATCTCCTTGGCTCAAGGCCCAGTGAAGATGTTCAAATAATTCAGGGGTGGCTCCCCTCAGATGTATAGGAACACAGTTGATTATGTTTGTTCATTTTATATCCTGCTACTTTGCTGAATTCTTGTACGAGTTCTAGCAGTTTTCTGGTGGGAATTTTTTGAGTCATCTAAATATAGAACCACGTTCTCGGCTGACAGGAATGTTTGAGCTCTTCTTTTCCTATTCATATCCTTTTAATTTCTTTCTTTTGCCTAATTGCTTTGGCTAGAGTTTCAAGGATTATTTTGAATAGGAGTGGTGAAAGAGGGCATCCCTGTCTTATTCCAGTTTTAGAGAAAAAGCTTTCAGTTTTTCTCCATTTAGAATGATATTGCCCTTTAGTTTAATGTAGATAGCTTTTACA